TTTTTTGATGTAAGGTAAAATCGTCTAGAAAGTGCATCTGACAAACCTTATTGTTTTTTTGGTTGATAAGTGATTTTGAATTCAAATCTTGACAAGGACATATTCCAACAGGCTTGGCGACGATTCAAAATAGGTATTGACATAAAATATCCAAGGTTCTTTTGATCTGTATATTTAGTGATTAGACTAAGAGCACCTTCTAGATAATCACACCATTCTTGAAACAAATCCACAATTGCAAGAAGTTCTTTATCGTGGATCTCGTAGTTGATTTCAACTGATGAGAATTTTTTGGAATGAAAAGCTACTAGGTGAAGTTTATCATATGTTTCCATTCGTGACAATTCGGCACCCAAAGCAAAGTCTGATGCGTCTATTTCCATAAAAAAATGGCTTAGAAAAATCAACGCAATATAAGATTGATGTAGAACAAAGATTGTCTTCAAAGCTTCAAATGCTACTTCCGCTTCTTAATACCATTGAAGTTTGTCTTTATAAGTCAAACGTGTAAGTAGAGCTGCAACTTGAGAGAAGTCTTTGATGAAGATCCGATAGTAGTTAGAAAATCCCAAAAAAGCATTGGACATCTCTTACTTTTTTTGAAATCTTTCAATCTATAATAGCTTGAACTTTGTTAGGATCTATCATAAGTCCATCATTTGAAATGATATATCTTAAGAAGTCAACTTGAGTAGTGTGAAATACACACTTTTCTATCTTAGCATAAAGTCCCACATCTCTTAGTTTTTATAATAGAAGACAAACATGAAGTTCATGTTCTTCTGTGTTCTTAGAATAGATTAAGATGTCATCTAGGAAACAGACAACAAAATCATCTAAAAACTCCCGAAAGACATCATTCATTAGATGTTGGAATGCTGCTGGTGCATTTGTAAGTCTAAAAGGCATGACGTTGTATTCGAAATGTCTATACCTTGTTCGAAACGCAATCTTCCATTCATCTCCCTTTTTGATGCATACCAGATTGTATGCTCTTCATAGATTTATTTTTGTATAGATCTTAACTTAATTCAATTGATCAAGGAATCTAGATATCAAAGGTAGTGGGTACCTGTTCTTGATGGTGATTTTATTGAGTCCTCAATAATCGACACACATGTGCAATGATCCATCTTTTTTCTTTACAAATAAAATTGGAGTTCCTGTTGGAGATTTGGAATGGCGTTGTCGGGGTAGAGAGAGTTTGCCTCAAGAAAGCGCTCGGCTTCTGGCTGTCACTAAATACTCAATCAAGTTTGAAATATAAGGGTAACAATTTTATATATATAAACTCCTCTCCTTTGGAGCAATTACATCAATATACAAGCCTTAAAATCCAAAGAACACCAAAATACTTGATATGGTGTTATAAAAAACTTATATATCCTTATGAGGAATTTTTCCCGAAGTTCAACAGCTCATAACTTACGATCTAACCGTCTAAACAACTCCAAATTTTATATGGAGTACTGATATATCTTTAGCAACTATCACACCAAAATTCAACCGTAAATTCGTCTTGAATCTTGTGATATCTTGAAAACCCTAACTGTAGCTTCAAACCCTAGCGTTTTTACACCCGTGTACAACTTCTTTCATATCTCACAAAGTAATTATTCAAATACTATGAAACTTTGATCTAAAGCTTCTTAACCCAATTACACACACTTGTGGAAATTTTGAGCCAAAAATTCGTCCAGAAACTCAAGATATGGCTTCACCCATAACTAGCAACAAAACGATATACTTACTGCCTTCAAATTACAAGTGCTGTCTTCAACGCCTCATAACTCCTTCACTCAATCTTAGAATTCACTATACAGTAAGTAGAATGTGTAGCCGAAAAAATTCTCCCTCCAAATCCAGTCGCCGATCTTCCGTTGCTCTCCGTATTCGTATGTGATGCCTAAAAGAAGTGACAGTAGGTACGAAATTGACACCTTATCTTTGAACATTCATATCTTTTCCATAAAAACTCGAAATCACACAAAATCTTCACCCAAATTATACCCAAAACCCTAAACCTTCTGTCCCTAGCCTCAAAAGCTCGAATGGCCTCGAAAGAGGAACCCTAATTCCTAATATGGCCTCGGGCAGCCTCCTCAAAGCCCATTGGGCATGGTATTCGACCAATAGGGATGAAGTTCTTCACCCCTTGCCTTCATCCAACCATGCCTTACTTTCATCCTTCCCAATAAGCCTCCTTCTAGTTATATTTTCATTTTTTAACTCCTCCCTTCCCTTAATCTTTATACTAACTATCTAAATCCTATATAATATAAACTCTATAATCAAACTAAATTAACTTCCAAATAATTTTTCTTATTTCAATTCATTTTAAATTAACATACTAACTATTCTAACTCACATTAAGACTTATAAACATATTACATGTTTTCACTAATTTTTACATACTTTAAGTAATTACAGTACGACAGCGTATGAAGTTCTTGGCCAGATTCTCTTCAATAAACTTCTTGAGTTTAGTCAATTCATTTTGTGATAAATTATAGATTAATCCAAATGGCGGTTGTATTTCTTCTTGAATGTCAATTGAGTAGTCATAGGAACAATGTTCCAGAAGAATATTTACATTTTTCTTTTCAAATACATCTTGAAATCTTGATATTGGCTTGAAATGTCACTTGAAGTCTTTCCACCAATAGAAATACGTGTGGCATAAATGACACAAGGTGATCCTTTTTTTGCAGCATACCAAAAAGCTCTTGCACCTACAAATACACGTTTAATTGTACTAGACTTATGACTTTCCACTTGATTAACTACACTCTTAGTTATACTTTCAAAAAGGTCCAGACTATGAAAGTCCAATCTATTTTAGGGTTATATTTTTCTAACCATGATAAACTTAAAATAACTAGATTAGATGGAGATCTAATAATATTAAATATTATAAAGCTACTATGACCATTAGTTGCAATTTCTATAAGAAGGGTTTCAAGAATAACATCTCCTGAAGACAACGGATGACTATCTATGACTTCTATATGAACAGGTTTAGTTTTCTTCACTAAAAGTATGCTATGTCTTTTAGCAAATTCTTCATCTAAGAAACATGTTGAGGCACTTGAATCTACCAAGGCAGAGGCTTTATGATGTTTAGATCCTAGAATAACATTTATCGTAAAACATGGAGAGGGTTCTAAGGAGAAAATAGAACCTTCACTAGGTGTTGTACAAGGTTCCAACCGCACGATCCCTATTATAGCTGGACAAACTCATTTTTCAACATATTATCTTCTTTGATCATTGTACTCCTCATTTTATGGTTGCATCGCTTCTTTGAGCAATGCTGAGCAATATACTTAGATTCTCCACAATATAAGCACAATCCTTCCTAACGATGACAAGTCTTTTCTTGCTCAGTAAGATGTATGAAACATATTGCATCAATTTGCATATCCTTTATTTCCGAATATATGTGTTGAAGAGATGTTGGTGTTGCCATTGAATTATAATAACATTAAGGTCTACTTGTACGGTTCTGAGATCAAAATTCAAAAAGACAATTATGGCACTTCATAGCAAAGTCAATTGTTTGATTCAATGTTTGAGGATTAGATAAGTTGAGCATAAATTTTTTTACTTCATATTATATTCTACAAAGAAATTGGCTAACAAGTGTAGCATCATCCCACTTGATATCAATTGCAAGTTATCAAAATTATAAAGCATACAATATTACTGATCGATTGTCTTGTCGTAAAATACGGATCTTGTTAATTGCAACACAAATTGCATCATGTTCTCTATACATGGATTAAAACTCTGCTAAAATAGCCTTTAGATTATCTAATATTGGATCTCGTCGTTCAAGAAAAGATGAAAACCATGATAATGCTAAATTTGAAAGAAGCATCCCAATGAATCTAACTTGCGATCTTGGAGTTGGATAGCTTTGAGATTGAAGTTCAATCACAAGTTGTAATTGATTGATAAATCATCTAAACTTTGATCTGGTGCCATCAAACTTCCTAGGTATGGCAATTCTTGGTTCCTTAACATTGAAAGGGTGTTCCACCATAAGAGAAGGGACATGATTTGGTGCAGATATTGAAGCAGCTCCAATCATTTCTATATCTTCACTTCCTACCAATCTTGTTACTCCTTGTGGTGGTAAATTGAATTGATGCATCACAAGTATTAACTCTCTCAATTATTCTTGTATTTGTATCATTGCACTCTTCATTTTAGTAAGTTCTATGATGATAACACTTAGAAAAGAGAAAATGTCTAATATTGCTCAAGACAAATAGAAGAGAGGACTTGAGAACAAAAAAAATACTAAAAATAATATCAATTTAAAAGAAGGTAATCTGTAACTTCTAATATTTTATCTACTTCTACCTATTCATATCACTTAGGTAATAATTACAATAAATATATGTTCATGACAAAGGATCTAAATAACCTAAGTACCAAGATCAAGAAAATCTCCAAGGGTCTAAATAACCTAAATACCAAGATCAAGAAAATATGCAAGGGTCTATGTAACCTAAGTTCTCTACATTCTTACTACAAGAGAACAATAGTTCTGAAAATAATAGTTATAATTGACTATAAATGCCAAGGCATTGCCCCACAATAAACTGTTTTCAAGCCATTGAGATTTGAATTAATATATACATATGACTGTTACTAGAAACTTACTAGAAACTGTTACGAGAAAGAAGCAGCAAACAAATATTATAATCATTCAATGGATGGACAAAACGAGTAATGAAATCCCCTTTAGCCTCTACAAGTAAGGTCAAACCTCCTTCAACAATAAAACCAATGGAAATGCACAAATCCAAAAAATTTCCACAATGAGAATACATAATTCCAGAAATTTTCCACAATACCCTGGCGGCCAAATATTAAAAAAAATAACACTCACACTGAAAAAAGTATACCTCTACCGAAAAAGAAAAAAAGATAACAAGAAAAAAATGAATATCCACCCAATCAAAGAAAATTGAAGGTTACAGTAGCTGTAGTTGCCTAAATATGAAACTTAATAGAGAACAATCCCCACCCCATAGGAGATGAAAGTATTCCAGGGACATTGCAAGGTCCTTCGTTCAGCTATTTTTCTATAATAGAGTGAACTCTAGTTTAGAAAAGACTCCCCCAACCAAGTCTCAAAGAAAGCTTTTAAATCTACACAAGTACAAAACTCAAGTAGAATGGTTTTATCATCCATCTTCATCAGCTACGAGATGAGGAAGATTCCTGTAAATACGGAAATTGATCCACTGTGAGAACCCAAATAAATGCCATTATGTTACAAAATGGGAGTACTGTTCATGTGTAAAGAGACTCGTTAACACACCCCATACGCCACACGAAACAGGTAGTACATAAAATTCAGCGCATCGGCAAATGTGGGTAAGCATTAGTACAATAAAAACTTCACGAGTTTCAGCGACAAACCAATGCTTCCCTCATCACACATTTACAGCATCCTTTGGGAACTGACACCTATTGTTCGCAGTACGAAAAAAGAAGTGCTTAAAGAGTGCTGCTTTACTTTTCAAAACGCGCAACATCGTCTAAGGAAACATCTCTTGTTCCAAGTGATTTTCTGCAATGGTGTAATTAACGAGCTCCTCAATATATAGGGGTCTTCTCTACATCCTCCACCACGCTAATCTTGTGAGGCTTAGCAAGGAAGTCAGTAAATTCCTGGAATGGCGACTTAGAAAACCTAGTTTCCCTCCAGAGATCTGGAGTCAAGAAACCGTAAGTCTTCAAAAGACACTCAAATGTCGCCTGCAAATCAACGTTGAGAATCAGAAAAAAAAAAAAAAAAAAAAAAAAAAAACTTACACCAATGGAGGTAGCCCAGACGTAATTCAGACATATTGATCTACAAGTGAGCTTTTCGTGATAATCTCGATATTTGTAGATACTAGAAGAAGATCTAGGAATGGCGATGAAAATCTGATTCCATGAAAACACGTGCCTAACATACTGACACCTTACCACAACAGATTACTAAAACACCTCTAAGAAACAGCGACAAGTTTCAATGAACATGAACGTGTCGGGACCAATTGAAATCACTATTGCATTTAGGTTAATCACTTGGTTAGCCTCAAAGGTCATGTCTATGGAAAACAAGGATGAGTCTCCGTGTTTTTCTTAATACAATCCCATAAGACCCGTCGATAAACCCTAGAAATTTGGACTAGCGCGAATTAATCACCTTTACGACTCTAAAAGGAGAGACAGAGGTACACACCTTAACGAAATTTCCAAGAGTTTTGGTGGAGCCGCGTGATGAAGTGAATACATCTTCAATACCGGCGAACTGGAGGACCTTCTTGGGCACTCGGGCGGCTACAATACCAGAACCCCTGGGAGCAGGAACCAACCTGACGGTGACGGAGCCACACTTCCCAGTAACCTTGCAAGGCACGGTGTGGGGCTTGCCAATTTTGTTACCCCAGTATCCTCTGCGAACTGGAATGACAGATAGCTTGGCCAAAATGATGGCACCCCTGATAGCAGTAGCCACTTCCTTGCTGCACTTAACTCCCAGACCGACATGACCATTGTTGTCACCAACGACAACGAAAGCTTTAAACCTGGTACGCTGTCCAGCACGAGTCTGCTTCTGGACGGGCATGATCTTCATAACCTCGTCTTTCAGAGCAGAACCCAAGAAAAACTCCACGATCTGATGTTCTTTGATGGGCAGGGAGAACAAGTAAATCTGCTCCAACGACTTAATCTTACCCTCCTTTACCAATCTCCCGAGCTTGGTTACGGGCACCCACTTCTCCTCCTCATCACGCTTCGGACCACGACGTCCTCCACGGCGGTCTCCCCTACCTCTGTCTCCACGGCCACCTCGGTCACCTCTGTCGCCACGACCGAAACCACGGCCAAAGCCCCCACGTTCACCACCTCGCTCCGCCATGGCTATCTCTCTGGAACCGCCACACAATAGAGCAGCGAGGGTAGGGCTGAAAAGTTGCAATCAAAACCCTCTCCTGCCAAGCACTAAAGCTCGCAAGGGGCAAAAACAAGAGAAACTTTTTCGCCGCAACTCGTCTTGTCCCCGTTCCACTCTGGATCCAAACCCTAACCGAGGCTCCGCTTCAGTGCAGCACCGCACCTCTCTTCTTCGTAGCCTCGGCGAAGCCCTACTTTTACCCTCTCAAATCCAGTGATTGAAAGGAATGAAAGATTAATTTGCTGTTGACGTGTACTGAAACTTGTTCCCCATCATAATTCGGGAAATAGTTTCCACCAGTTCAACATTTAAAGTCAGAGTATTAATCCGCTTATGGAGATGTATTATAATAAAGTCCAAAAGAAGTATTCATGTGTGAAACTAGATATTCAAATTGAGATGTTATAATACAAGAAATATCCTGTTAATTGATTTTAAAATATGCATTTATTTGTTTCCTCAAAAACATTGAAAATAAATTTTCATCATGTCTTCAAAAATATTTTAGCTTATCTTGTAAAAAAATTGAATAACACTAAGTACATATATATATATATATATATATGAAGATTCATATGCACATGCATATATATGAACTTAAAATTTGAATCATTATAAATAAAAATAAAACAAATATAGGAAATTTGATCATTTTGAAAAAAACACTTACAAACATTCCCTTTGTATTTGATTGACATTAACTTTCTTCTACATGATATCTTGATTATTTTATATCATTGATTTATAATGGCTAATTATTGTAATATCATATTTTATATTTTTAATAAAAATGTGCTATAAACTTTTTTTTTAAAACATGAAAAATTATTTTTTCTAAAAATAAAATTATTTTATAATCTATATTAAAAAACTAAAATTTAAAAAAATATCTAATGCAACATTAACAAACTATTCTAAAAAATAAGACATAATAAATAAAATACTAAAGTTTTAAAAAATATAAATTACTAATATATTGTTGATAAATATTTTTTATAGTAACCTTACAAAAAAATAATTATGCTAAATAAGTTATTTAAAAAACATTATAGAATACAAAATAATAAAGTTTAGTATATAGACATCATATACATACATATTTATTCTCATAATTACTTACATGATTAGGTAGAAGTAAGTAAATGTAGATAATTTCACAATATATTCTACAAAAGCTTCTTAGAAGCTTTTCAGACATGGTTTTGACTTTATATGTGTTTGTAGTTGATTGGTAGATTAGAAACTTGGTCAACAAGTTAACTACATAGTACACGTTGTCGTATTGTGGTTTGGCTACCATGTGAAAATAATGAATTTATATATTTAATACACAATATACTAGACAACATGGTGAAAGCCATATTAGTAGATTTTTGTTGGTTGTAGGATGTGGATAGATTACTAGCCCAAAAAGAGGTTTAGAAGGGCTTCTATTAGAATTTATATAACTTTATTTTTTGTTGATAGTGACTTTGAAGTTGATCTTATTAGTAGTAATCTTTAAATATTTAGAATCACCTTTGTTAGATATTGGTGATCCTTAAAGTCTTATTTTGTTTCTTTTATATGGTGTTTAGGGCATATATTGTGTAAATCTTGTAAAGAAAAGAGTTGGAGAGGGGTTTTGGTAGCAAAAAATGGTACTTAGGGCACCCATATGAATTAATGAAGATGGATGATATAAATCTCCATTCTTATTGGTCAAAAATCATGACCAATGGACTTCAAGGAAGCTGCCCGAAGCCATACTAGAGATTAGGGTTACACTTTCGAGCCATTCAAGCTTTTGGAGGCTAGGATCAGCAAGTTTAGGGTTTTGGCTATGGTTTTGGTGCAAATTTTGAGTCAATTGGAGTTATTATGAAGGAGATATAAGTGCTCAAAGTTGAAGTATTGATTTTGTACCTATTGTCACTCTTTTGGGTATAATGCACGCATACAAAAAGAAACAGAGGATCAGCAACTAGGGTTGGAAAGAGCACTTTTTTGGCTATAGTTTTGGCATATTTTTTGATGGATTCCAAGTTGGAATGAAGGAGATATTGGAGGTTGAAATCAACACTTACAAATCTAAAGGTAGTAAGTGACCCGATTCACTAGTGGTTGTGTTTTGAGATATATCTTAAGCAATTTGATGAGATTTTAGCTCAAAATTTCCAAAAATGTGTGTAATCATGTTACTAAACTTTATATACAAATTTTGATGCATTTAAATTTTGTATTTGTGAGATATGAAGAAAATAGTACTCGGGTGCTTGTGAATTAGGGTTTGAAGTACCTACTAGGATTTTTAAGATTCCGGACAATCGATAGCAAATTTATAATTGAATTTTTTTGTAGTAATGCTTAAGGATAAATCCAATATTATTTGTAAATTTTACAAAAATTGAATAGTTGAATTGAGAGATATGAATTTCTAAAGTTTGAAAAGAAGAAAAGAAAACTTTTTTGAGGAAAATATGTTTTGAAGAGATTTTATTATAAATTGAGCATTTTATATAAAGTAAAGGGGTTTTGTAGAAGTCAAGACATTATATATATATATATATATATATATATATATATATATTGAAGATGGATATATGGAGCTATGGTAAAATTTTGATATAAAGATGAGTTTTTGAGAGTAGATTATAGATTTTCTTTGGAATTATTAAAAATCTAATTTATCAGTAAATGGTTAGTTATGATTTGGTATAACCAAGAATGTTAAGAAATTCCTTGGTATTTTAAAATCCTTATATAAAAACCTTCTTAAATGTAAAAGGTTTTACTAGTACAATATCTTTTTGATAGTGTAGTATTTATTTATCTTTTACTTTAAAGATTAAATAACTTATTGGAGCTTGGCCAATAAGTTAAAACTAAACTCTCTATAGCTAGGTACCGAGTGTATTCCTAGATAGAAAATCATGCAATACAACAACATATTGGTAGCTTGTAGAACAAGCTAAACACATGGCACACATATAGAAAATTTGTCTTACAAGTTAAGATATGTATCTTACAAAATCAACATGTGTTGGAGGTCCTATAGAATATTGTTATATAGCTTTTAATTAGATAATATATATAGAGGTAAGAGTGAAGCCTTCTTCATTCTTATCAATGCTTTTTTAGTCCTTAATCTTCTTTCAAGCCTTTCTAGTCTTCTTGTCTTTAATAATAGCCATTTTAATTTAATATTATATCATCTTTGAGTGATTATCTAGTCTTTTTGAGTGACACAATAGTGTATTGACCTTTTGATTCTTTACGATTTATATCTTTGATAGTTTAATAAGAGTGCTAACTTATCATTCTTATCTTGTTTTAAAAGTGAGTAGATTACTCTACTTCTATTGTTATATTTTGAAGATTGTGAACTATATACCTTTAAACAAGTAATTTAGTTTTCTACATTCTAAAAGTAAAAATTTATCTATACTCTAAGAGTAGAAATCTCACATATTTCTAATGTAAATCATAGAGGTATTATTCTTAGGCCTATAAAAAAAGTCAATAATAAAATTTAAAGTTTGTATTAAAAAAGTTATACATTTAAAAAAAGAAAGTAGATCAAATTCATAACTTAATCCAAAAAAATTGCTATTATAAGTCTATGAGAGGCAAAGATAAGTATGTCCAAGAAATTTGATGGAACAAGATCAAAGTTTCAAGGATTTTTACAATAAGTAAAGCTTTATCTAGCGTTGCATCCTTCTCAATACTTTGATGGATTCATTCAAATTAGATTCATTGGAACACTTTTCTCTAAGAGTGCTCTTTCTTGATTTGCACCTTTAATAAAAAAAGATTTATGACTATTCTATGATTTGAATTTATTCTTGAAAGTATTTATTGCTACATTTAGAAAAAATAATCAAAAAATAGTAGTAAAAATGAAGCTTGTATCTTCATGACAAGGATTACGTTTAGCCATTATATATATTATTAAATTTTAAAATCTTCTTTGTAATATGGATTGGAATGACAAAGCCTTTATCAATCAATTTTGATATGGATTAAAAGATAATATCAAAGATTTATTGTTGATAATATCGAGAGTAGATTCATTAAAGCAATTTATTGTTTAAGCCATTTTATGCAACAATCAACTTTTTTAAAGATGCAAAGAACAAAGACTTGGTTAAAGAAGTATAAGTCAAGCCATGGCAATGTCAAGGACAAGAACTCGATGAAAAAAAAATTCAGACAAGTGAGCCTTCACTCAAAGAGAGGTAACAAAATATATATAAACAAGGATATATATTGAAAGAAAAACTGGAATGGCTATTGCTACAAGACAAGAAAACTAGAGACCCTTGAAACTAGACTAAAAGAAAGAAAGGAGTTGACAAGAGTGAAGAAGCCTTCACTCTTGTCTCTATATATACTATCTAACTAAGGGCTACGTGGCGACGTTCTATAGAACCTCCAATATGTGTTGACTTTGTAGGATACATGCCTTGACTTACAAGGCAAGTTTTTCTATGTGTGGGCCACATAATTAGCTTGATCTTCAAGCTAACAACATGTGTGGCACATGGCCAACTTGTTGACCACGTTTCTAATCCAAAAAGTCAATTAAAGACACCTATGAAAACAAAGCAGTGTCTATGAAGCTTCTAAGAAGCTTCTATATTAAATACTATAGAATTAACTTACTTTTACCTACTTTTACTTACTTCTACATATTTGTATATATAATTACTAGCTTATATGATTATGTCCGTGACATTACCCTCTCTTTTAGGGACGAGTTCCACGAGGAGCGGTCATCATATGTTGAGAAAATCTATGATACGACGAATTATATTCGCCACATACTTTGATCTTTGTTCTCCTCGAAGATGATTGATAGGGCCTCTCAACCATTAGTAGTGTCCCATATCAGGGCGGGAAGACCACCCAGTTATTTGATCATTGTTGAGGCCTTCATAACTTCCTTCGAATAGAATATTTGGAACACCATCAGGAGTTGTTCCTACCTCTAGCACAATCACCAAACATCAAGAGTCCCTTCCCAAATCGTGATACCAAACGTGCTGTATTGCGCCATCTATTCGAAGAAGAACATGTCATTCTTGAAGATCTTCATCTCGATTGCATCGTCTTGAAGGTCTTGAAGGTTGTGACAATCATAATGTCTCATCCGACAGGTCAACAAATGAAGGCTCTTGAGTC